TTATTATTATTATTATTATTATTATTATTATTATTATTATTATTTTAAGGAACAGTGATATGTAGTGGTTCAATGAACTTTTTCTTATGAATGAAAAAAATACACATATCTTATTGAGTCTGCTATGTATAAAATACCATTTTTTACAGATTGGATTGGTTAGTCTCTTGGCACTGACCCATACCTGTTGAGGAAGTGAGCTGTTCACTCAAATAATATCCAGCTCACTTCTTCGACAAGTACACTTCTGTAGGTGAGCTTTAAAAGTCTCTAGCAATGATCTCTGCCTTTAGGTTTTTTAATGGGTTGTGGAAAGTTCTCTTGCCTTGATTGAAATATTATTAATATTCTTTAAATCCACTAATATAAAACACTTCTTGTAGAACAAAGATAGTAGGAAAGCATTAGGATTGATGTGTACTTTGGAAAAGCTTAAATATAGTCATGTGCAATATCCATAGCTTTAAGTTATTTGGCAGCTTTGAAACCATAGTTACTAATGAAATGAAGACTCTTATAAATTGAAAATTTACTTACCCAGCCATCAACTCAGTAAACACTACTAACCTAATGCATAATTTTTACTGGAAAGGCCTAAAGTTTATAATACCATCTGGTTCACAGACCTTTTATTGTAGAAGAGTGCTAATTTTTACTAATACAGACACGATACCTTGTATTTCTCAGATGCTTTCTAGTTTTACTAAGTAATGCCTTTCTTAGCTGGAGGTAGTCTCACTAAAGCTTATAAAATTTAAAGTTACTGGTATATAAATTGTTGCTATTTCTAGGTAGACAACCTCTGTCCAACAGTCTATCTCCAACGCTGCATTAAGCAGTCCTCTAATAATAATCAAGCACACCTTTTGCAGGCTGTATCTGTTTCTCCCCCAGTTTCTTATATATAGGGGTACTCATATAGTTTGTGTAACTAAAAATGGATGAAAAGCAATGGAGAACAAAAATCCTCTGCCTGGCTTTTTTCCCCACATTTTCTACAGTGGTGTTAGCACAGGTCACAGAAAGGAAGGAAGAAGTCTATACATACACTGTATTTACAGGGACACACTTCACATACCTTTCTGTTTCTCCACGTCACCTCCCTGTCTTATTAATCTTGGTATCACCAGCTATGTCCTTCTGAAAATTTACTTTTATGAAAACGTAAGTTATCTGACCAGTAAACAGTAGTAGACTTGGTATAATTATTAGTGCTATGTATTCTAATAAATCCTTGAAATCTGTAATTCATGCTTTTGACATATTTCGACATATTTAGAAATGAAGTTTAGAAGTGAGTAGGTCTCTACCAACCTGAGGAGAGAAGCAGTAAAGTCTTCATGCACAGGTACTCCTCGTAAGATACCTGGAGCCTGTGCAACTCGGAGGAGATATACAGCATGTGTTTGCATTGGTCGTACATACAGGGTAGAGACATTCTCTGCCTGTGGAAGACAAATATCAGTGTTTGAGTTAGAAGAAATAGCGTTTGTTCCCAAAAAAGCACATTTCTTTGTTACTGAATTTTGGAAAACCTTCCTTAAACTTTTTCCTGGGTATAAAAAAGTCTAAAGAGACTACTGAATAACCTGATTTTACATTGGAGAAATTATTTTTCTATCATGCATGCCATGTGTTTATTGCTTTAAGAATTATTCCTACAGAATTTATTGTCCATTAGAGAACACAGTTTTAGATTCTACCCATTTAAAAATCAAAAGCACTTTTTTCACAGGATTCCAACCTCAAGACAACTCTGTGTGGTAACTGTTTATAGTTATGCAGAAGGGTCAAAACTAGAACTCATCTCTAGGCTTTCTGATAACCAAAATCTGCCTCTGACAGACATTATGTGACTGAATATCCTTCTAAATAAAGGACCCAGATGAATTCTCAGTTGATTCTCAAGAGACATTATCACATCTACAGTTTTCAAGCAGATCTCTAAAGGTTCCTAACTTTGAAATGGACACTAAGAAACTGAAACTATGCTCAGTTTATGGTTTTAGAAATACTTCAAGATCTGTTTTTTCTTAGTTTTTGACAGAAAGTGTCTTGGACTTAACAGAAAAAAAAAATTTCTCTCTATTAAAGATGTTTATTTCCTTATATGATAAATCAGACATGAACTGTATACTACCCAAGGTGATGACACAGGAGTTCACATGACACTCCAAATTTAAGATCTACCCTTAGCAAAGAGGCACCTTCCCAATCCCTTACTAAGAATTAAGCATTCTTTTTCTGGGAGCTATGTTCTTCTCTTTCAGTTTCTTGTGCATGGCAACTTTGAAAAAATTACGATATATTCGAGAGTACAGTAAAAATTCAACTCTAGTTGGCTGTTTAAAAAAAACAATTTTTTACATTATGACCTACCAACAATGAAGAGAGACTGTTTTACAGCTGCTAGGTGGTCAGAACTTGAGTGCATACTTTTAACACCCAAAACCTATCTGTCCAGAAACTAGCGTGGTGCAGAAATACAGGGGGCCAGGGAGGCAGCCGGCCCAGCTCGCCCAGCAGCGAGGAGGCGTGAGAATGGGAAGTAAGAATGCGTCTTCTAAACTGTTCTTCCTGTTAGTCATCCGTCCTCCAGCAGAGCTGAACATGGGGGAAAAATTCTGTAATTCCCACTTTACATAGGCATGTATGTGGCATTATCAGGTCATGCTGTGACTGTTTATATTTGAGTACCCCTCAAATAAAAAAAACCTGAATTAGATTAAGTTTACAGGAAAACAAGGATAAGTTGGTGTTTCATATATATCTCTGTTCAGTTTTAATCCCAATTAAATGAGTTCTTATTGTCTTTTTAGAAAGTGACTATAAGGTAGTAAATACTGCCAACATGTTTTTAAATAAGCATGGCCAGATTCTGAAATGAGCAACAAGTACTTAGATTTTAGATGACTTCACATATAAGCTTCATGTATTTATCAGTTCAATTGTGATACAGTAGTTGGAACAGTTCCCTTTTTGCAATATAGTCAAGGCGACTTCTTTTTCTGACACAGATACCTAAGAGTATGTGTGGGGATGTGGCCAAGCACACAGCAGTGCCTCCTAGGTGAGGGCAGAGATAGGGGCCTTTCTGGGAACAGTAAGAGACTGATCACAGCATGTGTACTTCACATGCCTCTTGTCTGTGACTTCTCAGTGCAGCCTGGTCCTTCTCCTTCAGTCTCCCTTGTCAGCGCGAATGACACCTCCTCCAAGGAGCCATGAGGAACCTTGCCTTGTCTCGTTCTCTGCTCATGTGTACCAGGTACACATTAGGAGTTATGGTGACCATTCATTGTTTCTCTGATTCCTTCTCCATCATGTTACCCTCATTTGAAACTCTCCACTGGCTTCTTCTTCCTAGAAAAAAATCTAAATTCCATTCACAGCTTACAAGATTCTGCTTGACTTGGCCGACATCCGCTTCTCTAAACTTGTACAATATCCTTAAACAGCTTTCTCTCAATTACTAACACATGTGAAGGTTGATATTAGGCTCTCCAAAATAATTTTGGTGATTTATTTGATTTTCCCCATCAGAATGTCAGCAGGGGCCTCATCTATTGTATTCATTATTATAGCTCAAGCTCCAAAAATAGTGTCTGGCACTTGGTGAGTACTCAAATATCACTGAATGAATACTGTGCTGGAAAATAAGTACCTCGAATACAGAAACAACACTAAGTTGAACTTAACTCAATAGTTCAGCCAGGGATTTTAGACTAGTTTTTTTATGTAACTAGCCAAACAGAGGGAAAACCTGAAATCGCTGCTTTAGGTAGTTCCCATTTACCCTGCCACGTGTGTGCCCTTGGTGTTACCTAGTAGCAGCATAACATTTGTTCTGAATCTAGAATTATCCCACTACTTGCAGCTCAATAAGAATTTATTACAAAGTTTTTGGAGTTAGTATCATCCAGGCTCTATGAAAACCACTTAACAATAAGGTGAGCTTACTACATTATAAGGCAGGCCCTCCCATTTAACACTCATCTCAAATAGATGCTTTTCTGTCATTTCAACCCATTTTGCTTGTGCCCGACACACCAGCAGACAGTGTGTTGGCTTTATGCTCACAGACTCTCTCTTTAGGCTGTGCTCAGCACTCCAGGTCTCTCTCTCTTTCATCCAAACATGCCTTGTTCATCAATTCATGTTAATTTCCAAACTCCTTGCCACTCTGGACAGATTTCAAGTGGTCACTGTTACTTCTAATACAGCATCCACTTCCGAACACGAACTACTAATGATGTATTGACTCACAGAGAATGCAGTGGGACTGTTACTCCAATACCATGATTTTAAGATTTCATTAATTTTTTGAACCCTTGTTAACATCCAGAGCTAATTAAATAAATCTCCATTTTTTTTCACACAAACAAAAATCTCCATTTTTTACTCAGCTCAGACCATGGGTATGTGTGTGAGTATGTGGGAACTCCGTGTGCTTTCTAATAAAGGAGGTAAGTTGTAATACAAAGTAAGGTCTTACAAGCATCATGAGTTTAGGGTATGTTTGAAGAATGGACCATCTGAGTGGAAACTATGAGTATCAAAAGGAAAATGAGAGAGAAAATGAGTCCAGGTTCTGGAAAGCCAAAAACCATGCTGAGTGTGCGTGGGTGGCCACTGAGGAGACACCCGTGTGGGCAGGTGTGGGACTGGATCACGCTGCTTTAGGGAGGAAAGAAATAGCATGGCGAGGGGCACTCACTGGGGGCAGAAACTAGTTAGGAAGCAACGGCAGTCTGAGCCTGGGGGGAGTGGACAGCAGGAATATCTAACAGACAGAAGCTTTGGCCTAGACGGCAAGAGAACAGCTCCTTTGTAAAATCGTAAAACTTGGCTGGTTCTCACCCAATTTAAAAAACACGAAATAGAATAATTTTTTTTCAGTCAGAAACACTGAGTGACCCTTGTCATGTGAAGAGACGCCTCTCGCCTCCGCAGCCTGCCTGTCCGCACCTGAGATCGCCCCTGCTGAGGGCGAGGCCGGCACGAGTGGTGTCACGGGCCTTTCCTTTCTGCAACAGGGCCATGAAAGCAACGCAGTGTCACAGTGAGCTGCCCCTTTGCGCGCTGACCCCCGAGATGCTCACTGTTCAGAAACCGCCCTCTACTGTGTCCTGGGACAGTGGCAGTGCCACGAGGACATCTGCTGTGCATCACCCTTGGCCTGCCCTAGGCCCCGATAAGCAGCTCTGTTTCAAGCAACTCTGCTTACGCCCACTTCCAAGATGCCTGGTGGGTCTGATTCAGCCCCGAGTGACCACAATAGCGGTCCAGCGGGAATTCACCAGCTGCTTAAGATGAATACAGGGCAAACGGCTCACACATGACTTACTCATTAATGATCAGATCAGGGGCAAAACACAGCAAGCTCGAACTTGACTGTCGGTAAGATCTCCACCCCAGGGCAAACGCCATAAGGAACATCCAGGAATACTGCAGAAGGGTCATCTGGTCATCCAGGTGTAGGTTCCTGAATCCTGAATCGGGGGAAATACAGACGTGAGGAAGCCTTCTGGTTGCCAGAGAGCAGATCAGCTCTCTGAGGACTCCCTGGTGATTCCTGTCAGAGGCCAGATCCGAGCCACTCCTGCTCCGGGGGCTCCCTAGCAGAAGGGAAGCCGCACGCGTGCGCAGTTGCTTTGTCATCTGACATGTGAAGACCAGACCCTCAGCGATGTATGACAGCATTCAGTGTAAGAAGATACAAGAGTGGCCAGTTTTTACTACCTTTGTGCCTATTTGATTAAATATCTAAATAATAAAATACAAAGACAAGAGTCCTAACTTGGGATATAACTCATTCAATGAATTTAAAAATACAGACATTTCCCTTGATATTTTTATCTCTTTCCCCCCGACAGACCGGGGCGACAGGAGGCCGGGTTATTTTTCTTTCTTCTTTTGTCTTTGACTATTTGTGTGAACGTGAGTTTGTCAGCCCCCCTCTGACTAAAAGAAGTCAGCACCGATACTAACACTGACATCTGCTGTTCTACATCAAGTTCCAATAGGGGAACTTTTATTTCAAATTATCTTAAGATCATATTAAGTAACAATGTATACTCTTCATTAAATAAATGAAATAAATATGTTGAGTTAAAATCATTTTATCTTAGTATATTTTAGTGTCCCCATTCCTGGTTTTCACCAGTTTAACAAATGACCTGATTTTTAAAAATGATACACTGAAGGAAAACAAACTGAATTCTTAGAAATATTAAAATATTTTCTTCCCCTAGACTTCAATGTAAACGTTTTATTATACACTCTCCATTCACCCCTATTTTACCAACTCCTGCCTTGTTAATTCCCAGAACTAAGAGAGACAAGAATACGCCGCTCCCAGGGTGATAAAGAGCCTAGAGCGCTTCTGTTTAAGGAAACACAAAGGTTTGTACCCTGTGTCATCTTTTTAAAAAAATCGAGATATATCTGATATACAGAACTGTACTGGCTTCATCTTTTGCATCTTACCTGGTATTGCCTTTGCCCATTTCACTGCCGCAATCACTTGCCGCCCACCCAGCATGTTGAGTGTGGTCATGATCCGCCAAGTGGAATCTGGAACAGAGCTGTCGTATCCTGCGTATAACACCTCAGGTTCAATGACCTCCAGCAGTGACACCAGCGTGGGGGTGAGCTGTGGTAAGGTCGCAGGAACTATTGTTTTGTTAGCAGGACTTTCAGAAGGTTCTTGTGAGACTCCTGTAGTGGCCTGCTGAATTCCTTTGATCTTTTTCTTTGTCTTTCGAGCTGTGAGTGTTTAAAAAAAAAAAAAACCCAGAACTGAGTTGTAATCTGAAGGTCTAGGTGTTAGAATTTATTCAGTAGGTATTTTAAGTCCTGAAACTGTTTACATAGAGGAAAAATGTTTTATTTAGCAGTTGTAAAGTTACATGGCAGCAGGGGGTGGAGTATTTTTTTCTAAAAGCAAAGGCTCGAGGAATCCATTTAGATGTTAATATTCTCTACAGATAAGCCAGGACTTCTTCATTAGTTAGACTTTATACAAAATTGTGTTTTACAATACTGTGATAATCTAAACAAAGCACTTCTAAAAGTTTCTTCCATAAATTAATTCATCTCACTTTCACTCCAAAGTTGAGATTTTCATTGGTTATATAATGCAAATTTTTACCATCAATTGAAAGAATCTAAGCTTGTAACAGACTAGAAACTGTATCTTAATGTTAATCTAAATTATGGTAATATATATATAAAATGAAGGGAGCTATACCATTTCTATCCTTGCACAAAGTCCTCTTATCAAGGTAGTAAAATGACATGCCAAAAACAGTATTTGTTGTAACAGCAGAAAAATCTACTTTTTACCTTAATATGATGGGTAGTACTTGGGACTAAAAACATTTGGGAAGATACAGAGAGAAAAACTTTACATTTCTTCATATAAATTACCAGTGGGTAATTTCCCTCTTATAAGAGATTTTAATGGATGACTGTAACCCTAAAGCATCCGTTTTCATTACATACATGTAAAGTCACTAAAACTATTCTCATCTTTGATTTAGTCTGGAACAGTGTAATCAGATTACAGTATGGATTCTGTAGATTTTTTAGTAAACACAGTCATACCCTTGAAGCTGTTTGTTGTAGTGACAAATAAGAATTATTCTTTTTTAAAGTATTCTTAAAGAGAAAATCCTCAGGGCTCCAAGGAAAGGCAAGGAATGTAATTTATATGGAAGAACTGTACCTGCATTATCAGGGGTGCAGACGATTTTGCTAAAAGAAAAGTAAATACTAATCTTTTAAAATAATTATTGCATCTTCTGTCCCTGAAGTGACAAAATACGTAGTTTATGGAGGATAGATAAGTTGGTAGGAACTATATCTCAATGTCCAGTGTTAGAAAGGGGCAAAAAAGCCTGTCACTCACATTAAATAAAATGGGTTCAGTTTCCTATTGTGCTCTGGCTGAATGTGGTACTGAGAAATGCAAGAATTTTTAGTAAACATTTCAGAACAGAGAAACAGGATAGTGACAGATCTAATTTATTTTACCATGGTCTGTTGAAGCTGCAGTATGGGGTAGTAATAAACAGTATAAATCTAAAACCAGTATGTTTGATTTTAAATCCTGGCTCTGCCATTTAATAGTTGGATATACATGCAAGTTATTCCCTGGGCCTTAAGTTTTCTTTTCTGAAAATGAGAACAATATTAGTATCTTCTTCATAGGGTGGTTGAGAATTAAATCAGTTAAGTTATGTAAAATGCTTGTAACAGCTCGCGGCACACTTGAGTGCTGTATAAGAACCATGAATACCTAGACTAGTAGTAGAATGTGCTTTTAGAATCTGAATTCAGATAGTACAAGTCTATAGAGGGATAATCAAGTTTAAATCAGAAGAGATCCTCTACATAAGGAAACCCTTTAAATAACCAAAAGTATACCCCGATCTCAAAATCCTGGAGTGTACTTTGTTGACAAAGTAAAAGAAAACAAGCATGTAAAAATATCAATAAACCATAACTGTAAATTTTCTAGAATGGGGTCCTACATCCCACAACAGAACAAAGAGGAAAGGATAGTGACAAGCTGGAGGATTTTAAGAAATCTTCTACTTGGTATATAATTAGCTTAATTTCTTACTATTTCCCTGTAGTCCTGGATGAGAGAGCTGGTGTTTTTGAAGCTCAAAAAGCACTAGTGAGCCCAATTGTGTTGTATTGATTAGAACAACCAAGTGTACTAATATGTTTTCTTATAACTTTAGCAGTTGTCCATGGAATTAATCAAGCAATCACTATTTTTTAGAGTAATTTAATCACATAAAGTTCCTGACCCCATAGAGCATAGAGATTAACAGTCAGTATATGATCTTGAGTATTTAACATGTCTGACAGTTCCACTTCTTTCTCAATAAAAGTAAGGATATCTTACTTGGTTTAAAACAGCTTAAAAACAGTAGGTATGAAATCTGATAACGAAATAAAATTAACTTTACCTTAAAACGAAATAAAACATTTAGGATCACCACTAAAAAATTTTATCTGTGCTCAAATGCCAGGCACTTTAAGCAGTGAAGAAAACTGCCTTATAATAAATGTTGAGGATTACTTGGTGTGGGGCGGCAGGATCCGAATACACCACCTGCAACACTTAGGTTCCGCGTGCGCAGACGCTGCGCCGAGAGAGCTGACTGTTTCTGCGGTTACTCCGAGGGCATCACCAAACTGCTTGGTTTAGGTGAAGCACTCAGAGGAACAAGAAAATATTTCTTTCAATTGAAAAATAAAAATAAGCATGAAACACATGGCTCATCTGTACTCTTATGGTTTATGATCCACCAAACATTTCTGGCACATACGCAGACCTACTCCAAATAAAGATTTCATAAAACGTATACTGGAATAATTACAAAAATGAGGCTTTCACAGTAAAACCACACATGCTAAATGACAAACTAGAATTATGTAGTATAAAACATGAAGTTAATATTGGTCCTTCTTGAAGGTATTTTTAATAATATAAGGGTCCCAGTAAGACTCTTGACAAATACTAGTTTCCCCACTACTCGATATACTCGTAACTTATAAAAACATAGAATGTGGTTATTTTTTAATATGGTGTTTAGAGAAATAGCAGCTCAGTTTGAATTGTATGCTTAGATTTCATTCATCCAACAAGAGATCCGATTGCAAACGGCAGTGATGGCGTATTTGGCCTTGGCCCAGCCCTTGTAGAGACAAGGGGCGCTGCACCTGTGACTTAACTGTGAGAGGGGAGCGCAGTGATGGACTCTAACCCGGGCCGTCAGAACCATTCCTTTACCGTTTCTGTTATCTTAATTCTTCTGAATAAAAAATCCCTTTACACTTTGGACAGGGGAGAAGGAGACCTTGCCCAGAAGAGTGCATCCTATGCTTAAAGCTCCAAAGATCTACATTAAGCTTGATGTGTGTTCACAAAGCACCTAAAAATGTTACTGGATAAGCACCCATACTCTGTTAGTGATGTGGTAGAAGAATTAGAATTTTATTCGGGTTTGTCCTTTGAGTGAGGTGAGAAAATGGGGATTAAAGGAAAGTAGTGAAATTGGGGCTAGAGAAAATTAACCAGTCACTAAAAACTGACAGCCTTAATGTATTGAAACTTGGTAAAATAAGCAGAGATAACGTCTACATCAGTTTGTAGTTAATCTCTGTAGCTTTTCTAACACCAAAAAGAAGACGGGCAGCTATCATTTCTTTAAATCAATGCTGAACATGTAGATATTCTGCAGTGAGGTTTAAGCAAGCTATTCATACTTAGAAAAAATGGTGTTAAGTGACGGGTGTGTCACGAATGTCTGGTGCAGAAGAGACTAATTTCATCTGTCTTTTCGCTATCAAAGTAAGAGGATAGCTTTGTGTGTGGTTTGGGGATTCAAGACTGTGCGCGGTCACACCCATCAGTTCTTATATTTCAGAATGCTGACACACACGGTGTGTGCCAGACAGCGCCAGCGGTCTCTCTTCTGGCACAGGAACCACACGGTCTCCATTCTCCCTGTGATATCACAGTGTCTTACCTGGATCACTCCTATAGGTGCTTACTTGGTCCCTTACTGCCAGAGTAGAGTCTGCTCCTCAGCTCCTCTAGACTTAGATCTCAATGTCGCTTCTTCCAGGAAGCCTCCCCTCCCTTTCAGGACAGAAGTAGGTGGCTGTCCTCTGGCTTCGTGGCCCTGTTCCTTTTGCAGTGTGCCGCACCGTGCTGTGACTGACTCTGCAACCTGACTAGACAGTGACCTCCTTGAATACAGGCACTGTTTTACTCATCTTATGTCTAGAGCGTGCCTCCCTCGCGAGTACTGGTGCAGTGGAAGTGCCCCTATCACAGCAAATACTAAGCACACAGGCTATTAGACCACCACCACCACCTTCATGAACCTCGATCCAACAATTTTCTGAGGAAAGTTTTTAAAAGATGAGATCAATGTTAGTTATACAACTTGCTCTATGAACAGGAATATGAGACACAAACTTATTCAGGTTATTCAGGTTTCTTCCTTGAAAAACAAAACCCACCCAAGGCCTCCTTCAGGCTTTTTTTCCTTCCAGATCTATAATAAAACATATATATAGTGCCAAGTAAGATGTAAATGACAGAAAAATGGACTTAAAAATATATCTGATATGGAAACATATCCAACTCTTGGGAGTAGTTTTGAGGCTGAAAAACGGAATAAAAAAAAAGTGTTGCTTCGGGTTTTTTAAGTTTTTTAAGTTTCATTATTACATAATTTCCTTTCTTAGTACATGATCTGGCTATACTGAATTCAGTGTGTGTAATAAGAGCTGGTGAATAAGAATATGAAATATTCATGAGCAGTAATATAAATTATGGTAGTCAAGCTCATATATGTAAGGACTAAATTATGACATCTGCTTATGTATATTTTCAAGTCAAATGACACATTTTCGTATGATGCAGAGACAGTTCTCTCAGGCATCTCACATTACCTTCCAGGTTCATTCCAGCCTGAAGACATTTTCTGTAGCGGCACGCCGGGCAGTTTTTTCTTCGAATTTTATCAATGATACAATCATTTCTTCCAGCACAAAGATAATTGTGCTGTCCTATATGAAAAACGAAGGCACTATTAAAACTTCACAGGTCGTAAAGGATGTATTTGTGGAGAGACTTCCTGTTTTGGGCAGCCAAGGACCAAACACGTCGCTTAAGGAAGGCACACTGTACTTGTTTATACTGCCATTAAAAAAATGGAGAGATCAGCTTTAAAAAGGTCTCTTATTCTGTTCACAAATTAAACAGTTTCATAAAAAAATTTTTTTTACTGCAATATATAGAAAAGTGCACAAATCACAAGTGTAGCACCTAATAAATCATCACAAACTTAAACCTCCATGTAATCACTTCTCGGATCAAGCAGCGGAACGATTCCCCGTGAACTCTTCCCGCCCCTCCCGTCACTGCCCACCAAGGTCACCTCGTGAGAAACTGTGCTTGAAACAGTTTCTTCTTTTCACAGTTACAGAAGATGTCTGTAGTCACTATTTCATTATGACTTCTAACCTAATGCTAAACACGGGGACCAACGCAAGAGAAAACTGCCTAAAAAATACTGAGAGAGTCCCAAAGGGAAATGACTCAGATTCAACATTATGCCACCTGTGCAAATAAAATGTGCCATCCTTCTTGATTATAAATGAAGTGATGGTTAAATACTTAATCTTGAATGGTAAGGTTGCCAGCAACTAGTCATGTGAGTCACAGACTTGGCAAAATAAACTACTATAAATATATATATAATGTATCTTCAGCGATTTGTTCATTATTTCACATATTTTTAGAATATAATGTTAGAATTTACCAGTGACGCCCCACCCCCCAATATTGGAGACCATTACTCTCTAAAATGCCCTGGTGCCCAGTAGTAATGTGCTAAGAGGTACAAGTACAGTTTTCAACTGGCAAAATTTTCAGGGAAAATTTGAAAGGAAAAGATAAAGCATCTCCCTACCCACATACTCATCCTCAAATGCACATTCTTATAGTTTACTTTTCATCTGATTATTGAATGTTGAAGAAAACCTTCTGAGGATGTGCTGGCCTGGCGAAAACTGAAAGGATCCTCCTACACAAGACAAGGGTATCTAAATCGATACACGAAGATAACTAAGAGTCTTGCACTTGACACTAGAGGGGACGGTCTTCACAGGACTGCAGGACATTTCTCTTCTCAAAAATAAGTCATAGTTAAAGGTGGGAGAAAAGTCACAAATATCAATTCATTAGGTAGAATATACCAAGTTCTGATTTCTGGGAAAAGATTCTTTATACTAAGGACAACCGAAGACTTGATTTGTATGAAAGCCAACTATATTTACTTCTTCCTAACAGGATAAAACCCAGTGTATTCTAAGCATTAGTTTTGGGTAGATGGTAAACTGAACTGGGTTCAGTTCTTTGTGCACAATAGGCAACAGAGCTGACCAATGGCCTATAGCTCAGCTTTGTTGCAGAGCTACTCTCCAACGCCAAATGTCTGTGCCACCGGTTTCAAGGCCTTCCTGTACTGTGTACGTTTCCTAGCTTCTTTACTTGGATATGAAATGGAAGCACTAATCGGATAATTCTATGCTCTGTAAAGCCAAAGTAGTAATGACATAAGCATCCAAGCAGTTACTGGAAGAGACAACTGAAATTGTGCATATTATGCTAATAAGGATTTCTTCATCCCAGGTTATGTCTTGAGCACACCTAGAACCTGAGCCATTGGATCAAGGGGTATTATAACATTCCTAAATTAAAATTAGTCCTAGCTGGTTATTAGCATGAAGCTGGACAAGTCTGTGCCTTATCTATAGAACCAGCAGTCAGTATTTCACAAGGCGCGGACAGGCACGACTGTATTCACTCCTTGCCGAACCTTTTGATGAGACGATGAGACATCTTAGTTTGGAGTTCTATGTCTTCTACCGCTTGGTAGATCCCCTTTCTGGCTAATAGACAGTAGACGTCAGGAGAAGAGCCTTCAGGCTGGCTGGAATTTCTTAACATTGTTTGTTTTGTATTTATTTTTTTGAAATAAATCTACTTTGGCAAGTGATTCTGGTTTCTATTTATGGTACGTGTGGAAGCCTGCTTCTAAGCTGCCCAAAGTGGTTTCTCCCTCCTGGAACTAAATACTCTGTGGAGCCCCGTCCCACAGTATGCCAGAATTAGCCTGTGCGACCAATAAAATACGGCAGAAGTGACAGTATGTCCCATCTGGGGTTAAGTTATAAAGACATGTTTCCGTACTGGTCAGACTCACTCCTGTGGACCGTTCGTTCTGGGGGCGCACTGCTATGTTCAGCACAGCCCTAGAGGAGATCCACAGAGTGAGAAACTGAGGCTTCCTGCCAAAAGCAATGTTAGTGGGCTTAGAGGCAGATCCTCCAGCCCCAGTTGGGCTTTCAGAGGGCCACAGCCCCCAACAGCAGACTGACTGGTACCTCATGAGGGTCCCAGGACCACCCAGCTAGTGAGCTGCTTCCAAATTCCTGACTCACAGGAACTGCTTGACATAATAATGTTCTGTTGTTTAAGCCACTGATTTTGGGAATGATTTGTTACATAGCAATAGATAACTACGACAGTGTGGACAGTAAAGGCATTTTTAAATAAGCTTAAATTTTAAAAAATTAAGAGTGACCCAAGAAAAGTATTAAGTAATAAACAGAACAGTGCCGCATGGACAAGACCTTGAAAGTCGTCCAAGAAATGGGGCAGCACAGCAGAGAGTGCGTCCCAGGGGTCCTGCAGCTTGTGTGTCCTGTTCGAGATGCCCAAGTTTTAAATATGAACTGTGACTATCCATCTGAGCTTCTTTTTTTAATCTACTCTCAAAAACAGTGTAGTATAGTGGAAAGTGCACTGGTAAGATGCTAGGAAGCTCTTAAGCTGAATCACGACTCTATTTCCTAACTGTGAGGTCTCAGTCATATTTATCGACTTTTCTGAGCCCCTGCTTTCTCAAGTGTAAAGTTGGAAAATTAGTACCTACCTTGCTGGGCTTCTGCACGGTTAAAGGCAATTAGGTAGAAGGTTCATAGCACACAGTGAGCATTCAGTAAGTGCTAGCTATTAAATAGTGCCCTTGTGATTACTGTCATCTTAGTATCTTCCTATATTATAAACTGCCAGGTGACAAAAACCTCTCAGGGAGTCAGGATAGCACCGAGGGTAAGAGCCTGGAGACAGCTCTGTGTTTGAATCCCAGCTCTGCCAGTTGGACTCTCTGAGCCCATTTCCTAGTCTATCAAATATGGATCATAATAGCATCTAAGAGTTCACAGTCATTAATAAATAGTACTTGGTACATAGTACATTAAGGCTAGCAGATGCCTATTTCAATTATTACCTACCAACAAAGATCCCTGAAGTCATATGCACAGAAAAAAATGCAGTTAGCCAAAGTTCTTTTCTATATGTAGAAGAGCAACTCCCAGAAAATGGAATAAAAAATGCAAATTATCTTTGTTCTACCTTGTTTGAGCAAAAGTAAAATTTCTGTAAATTATAAAGAAACAGGTAAGTGTTTGGGTATTTATTATACTATGCCAATTTGGGGTATAATGTATAACTTCTAACTGGTGTTAAAAATGGAGTGCTAAGTGTCACGCACATCATACAGGCTACAGCTTTGTAACTGTTTAAGAAAGTGCTCCAAAATACATATGTGGACTTTTAAAACACATAGCCGTCATGTTAGATAGGAAAAATATAGAAGAACTGCTGTGAATTAGGTCATCAAAGTATTACAATTACAGAATTTTAGGGCTGGAAGGGACCTTGGAGAACACTAAAATCCAAATAAAGGATTTATTTGACACAGTCCACATTTAAACCTTTTCTTACTAATCCTGTAATCTGGCTCTGATACTTAAATGACAAGCATTTTAAACTAATATTTCATGGAATTTTACCTAAAAGTAAGTATGAGAATTTAATTCTAAGGCAGGAATTAAATCCAGAGGGCATATAGCTAGCAATAGTGTTTTATTTGGGAGATATATGTATCCTTTTTCTTTTTATATTTCATTTGGATACTTTTAGGTAGGGTAGGTTTGCACTTTCTAATCTCGAAGCCTGCCCACCTTCTCCCAGTTGTATTGTATTTGGCCAGAATGACACATACTTGGTCCCTAGAGGCATCTGAATTTGTAGCCCTGTTTTTACAGTTGAAATGGAGGAGAATGAAATATATTTTTCTAAATACTCATATGTCTTTTAGGGTTCCATTGCCTCATTCTGGATTTCTCTAAAGAAATCAACTTGTGAATAGTATTTATTATGCAGCAATATTGTATTACTGTTATTACTGCATTTAAGTCGTGATCAGTTAAGAGTGTGCTGAATAAAGTGAACGGAGGACAAGAAGAGGCTTCCTTGTCTTGGGTCTGTAATAAACAGCATCTGCCTCCTCGGGCACCGCACTTCAGCAGGTGTGGCCTTAGCACTGTGCTCAACGGTTAGGAGCTGCTGCTGGTCACAGCCGGCATTCCTGTGCTCTGTGTGGGAAACCTGTAGTTAGCTAATTTATTAAAAAGTAATCCAGACAAAAGAAAACGATTCATCTTACTCTTAAGGACTGCAAAAACAATTTTAGCCAAATAAAAATAATCTTCTCAGACTGTAAAGGAATACATAATCTCTTCAAAAGTTAATATGATCAGAGCTTTAGGTAATATATTCAGGCCACACTGCCTTCAAACTGTTTTCAAAAAAACTAAGTTACATAATTTTTTCCAAGAGGAATCACTGTAATGTTAGAATGACTTTCAATAATAACTTGCTTTTGAATGAATTTCTCCTTTAAGGAGTTGATGCTGTAGTCCCTGGTCAGCAGCTGAATCTGTAACTAGTGTAAAGCTTATACATATATTTATACATATATAGTGAAGTCACCGTCCCTGAAACACCTTCTTTCCTGACCTCCTCAGGCAGTTCATCACCTGCTCCTCTATATTGTAATCTCTGTACCTTATAATTGTTAACTCATCTTTCACTTCAGGAAGACTATGGCCTCCCAGAGGGCGGAATCTGGCCGTCCGTTGTATTTATACCACTTAGCACAGTGCCCTGCCTCAACAGGGAAAAACCCCAAGAACCTTCCCCGCTACCAACCCCAGTTCTCCCTGACACTCATTTTTGCCAGACTGGAGTAGCTGGTGGCTTTAAAACTAATTAATTTATGGGAATTGGAGCCTGTGATTCAAATAAAATGAGCGTTAATGTTATTGCCCAAGCCTAACACCATCTTTTCACATGATAGCACTTAACTTACATTTACCTTCTGTTCTCTGACTAAATTCCCTCTCTTTAATTTGTACTTTCTATTTAATTCTAGTTCTGTTTGTGTTGCTTTTAAAAATCTCTCTTTTCCACTGAAGGAGCCACCCTCCTCTCTACTGACTTCTAGCCTTAATGGGCTTTGCATACAATAGAAATTTCAAAATCCACCCTGAGAAATAGAAACGAAATAAAGGAAGAAAATAAAACTCTTCAAAACACACACTACCTTCCACTGCTCTTTTGAAGAACACTTTACAGCTTCCACAAGTCAAGACCCCGTAGTGGCATCCTGAAGCCTCATCGGAGCACACCAGGCAGAGCTTGGGCGGCGCTCCCACTGCTGCCGAGGGGCCGGACGGCGGGGAGCTCGCGTCTGGCCTCATCCCGGGGCTAAGGAGAGAAGAAGGCAGTGCGGTCGGTCACCTGACTGCTGACTGTCAGGGGGGTATCAGAACGCAGCTCCTACCTTCTCCCTCCACGGCGAGCGTGTTCACACTGAACTCTGGCTTCAAGTACTAGTAAGCATTAAAATACCCCATCGAAGTATATTCAAATGCTGTTTTCTTCTATATAAAATTAAGAGTGAGGTCATTTCTATTTAAGAATCCCTTAAAAAGAATGGTGAAATTGTGCCTCACTTAATTACCATTTTTAGTTGCTTAGGATTTGTTCATATTTATAATCAACTTTATTAAGATGTCATTTACATACATAACATTCACCATTTGTAAGTCTACAATTGATGGGTTTTGTTAAATGGATACTTGTATAACTACCGTCACAATAAGGAGAATAATATATACCCATCACCCCAAAAAGATGCCTCCTACCTCTTTAATTGCTTAGAACATCAGTTTTTTTCCCCCTAATTTTAAGATCCTATACAGGCATCTTTCTAAATTTAATCAAGTCTCATAATTTTACCCAGGTCCTCTACTAGTGAGTCAAACCTGTTGACAGTATTAGCGTTTGGTTCTATCGCACTCATTCCCAGTACCATCCTGGCTGGAACCATGTGTGTTTATGACTGACTTTTAGAAAAGACAGATACAGAAACATTACTTCCTGTGACCTTGTCTGGCCTGCAGTTAGACTGGGAAAAGCACTAGACTTTAAACAGTAAGGACTGCCCTGCCTTTCCCACTCAGACAGGCCCTGAATGAAAGGACGGAGAACGGAAATCTGCTTCTGCCGGGTCCTGTTCTCCATTTGGCAGTGTTCTCCTCGCAAGTATAGGTCTAAGGGTTTAGTGTTTCAAAACAAATATTCTTCCTCATTTGTCCTAGACATTTTGAAACTTGGGAAAGTTCCTAAGAATTGTACAATGAATATATACCATTTACCTATCCTTACCAATTACTAACATTTTGCCACATTTGCATATATATATTTTTATAAACCAATGAAGCAGTGATCCTTTCAATTCTGGAGAAAAATTAACTTTAAAACACTTCATAATAGATGATACAGTGGTTTCCAGTGTTGTATCGTCCTAAGGAATTTTCAGCTTACATGCTACCTGGAGAATCAAAACTGCGCGGTGTAACCCAGGAGAACCTAACCGAAACTGTGTAACTCAAAAAGGGTCTCAGAAAGAGTTTCCAGAGATTGCCCTCTCCTTTTCCAGTTACGTGTTCCTTAAACATATGGATGGTAGCCATCTGTTGATTTTTGGAAAGACCACATATTAAAGTGTGTTGCTTACTTATGTATGTGTGTTTATGTTTATCATCAACATGCCATTACCTCTCACTGAAATTTTCTTTATTCTCTAGAAGAGATGGCATTTAGGAATAAACTCCGACTGGGTGTTAGTTGTTCCTCTGTCATCCTTTAGAATTGCAGTCAATAATGGTACCAAATCTCAATCACAAACACGCTAAAACAAATTCAGGGAGCAGACTATCTTGAATTGTCTTGGCTGTGAACATGATTACAAATTATATTTATTGAGTAAAATCTTTTTTGTTTGTCTGTTTTAGGAATCAAGGTTAAAAGGTAATTGTAGAATGACTGTTTTGTAAATGTCACTAAGTAATTAGGGCAATAAACCCAAAAGCTTACCTTAAATTCTGTCCTCAAATGAAGCTTATTGCACGTTGCCAACCCTCTCACTGCCTAAGAGGCTTAGTTATTAACAGGACAGGTTCCCATCACCCCAATTCTGGAAATAGGCCCCAGGGTTTCACATTGTTCTCTGAACACTGTCAAGAATGCTTCCGTGTCCCAAGGCAGTGATGGCCTGCAGGACTCGGAAGAGTGGAATGAATGCATATTGAAAGCCTACAGTGGAAGAGAATAACCTGAAATGACTCTGCTGTAGGCCTGGCACTAGACACCCTTGATTAATGGAAACTTGTGACTAATGTAGAGGAGCTGCTCTGGGCCAGAGTTTTACAGAGAAGTAGGAAGCCTTGAAGTGAGAGAACAGAGCAATGTGTCAGGGAAGCAAAAACTTCCTTGGCTTCTTTTCCGAAGATGCTTCCATTTCTGCTCAGTCAATCTCTTGTCATCTGACATCTATTTTTAGGGCCCAACCAGTTGTTTGTATATTTAGTTTATGGAAAGTGAGTGTAATATTTAAAGACTTAAAAGGTTAATTTTGTAATATTTACTCAACCAATTATATATGATTATATGTAATACATTTTATGCATATACACATATGCATAAAAAATTTTAAAGCCAGTAATTTGTAGTACTTTATAGTTTTAAAGGACTTTCATGAATAGAATCTCATCTGTCTTTTCAACAACCCTATGAAAAGGATGTCATCACCTCTAAGTGAGGTCACAGTAGTAAGACGTTGATCCGGGAGCCTCTATGTGGTCACACTGGCATGTTTCAGATCCCAACTCTTACCTCTTAAAAGCTTGTGTGACCCTGGATGGGTATCTACTACTTTGAGCCTCAGTTTCCTTATGACTAGACGGGGAAAGACATCACGTGTGTGTGCTGTGAGACCAAGAGAACCTACAGAAAGTCTAGCACAGAGTTCCTGCATCTAACAGGCACTTGAAAAATGTCCATTCTTTTCTCTTTCAGGAAAAATGAAATAGCATTATGCAAGTATTATGTAAGTGGAAAGTAGCATAATTAAATCTAAAACCTGTGGAAGAATCCCCAAATTCTTATTTAGAGAGAATACGCAAAACATGCAAAGCCTAGCCTAACTGTGAGTTACAGATGATCAAAGGGAAAGTCAAAACTCAGTGAATGTACGGACTGATAGACCCGTAGCTAAAAATCTGGAACTTGAGCCAGGCTTTTGGCATCCCTTCAGGCAGTCATTCTGGGCTACATCAGATAAGAACTGAGTACATGGAAGGCTGCCAGATGTACCACAAGCATCAGTGGAAATTAGTTTTTGTCACACTAATATGAAGACCAGGATGGCCGACACTTTTAAGGTGCTTTCATCCTCGGCCTCTTCATTCGTTTCTGGTCCACACCATTGGGAGAAATGTCTGAATGCAAAATGGCATTCAGTTGCTACCGTGACCCTATGAAGTTGCTAAAAGAGCTAGGGTGCGATAAAATGGTTAGAACTCAAAGGAGAACCATACGGAATCAGCATCTTTTAATAAGGATACAGACCAGAATGGAAAAACAAGCACACCATAATAATAGTGCGTATCATTACACCACTCTTTGAAAGGCAAAGCTAAAATGTTCTGATCTTTACAACTGTGCCAGACATTCTGAAGACACTGAGAAGTTCTCTTATGAATTCACTACGTCCAGGGTGCTTTTCTTTTAAGGCACTTTGTTCCTATGACTCTTCATTTGTTTCAGGTGAATACTTGAGTGATGTTTACTATTGAAAATGGAAAGTGTGCCCAACACCCAGTTATTCCTGAGGCATTGAGTTTAGAGTTGAGAGAGAAAAAACATGAATGAAGCTGGTTTCTTCCCATTGAATTATCTTGCAAGAAAAGCAACTGATGAAAGGAAGATCATGGATGGATGATGAGTCACATACCTTGAGAAGCATTGTGAGGATAAAGAGGTCCTATTATAACCAGAAGTCATATGTGAAATGTTACTGAAATGAAAATGAACCTTGACACTGACCTAGGTAAGAGTGGCAGATTATTTTTCAGCTGTCTCTTGTGTCACAGTACTACTAGGAAGAGAATCAGCTATATATACAGACAAATCTGGGTTCAAATCCTAGCTCCAGTGCTCTAACAACTGTGCAGCAGTAGCTAGCTGACCTATCCCTTGGATCTATTTCCTTACTACCATTTTAGGCCATCGGCCAAAACAATCTTGAGAACAAACAAAGCTGGGGGGTATTACAATCTCAGATTTAAAACCACAGTAATCCAAAAAGTGTGGCATACAAAAATAGACACATAGATCAGTGGAATAGAATAGAGAGCCCAGAAATAAACCCATGCACATATGGTCGATTAATTTGTGACAGGAAGCAAGAATTTACAATGAAGACAGTCTCTTCAATAAATGGTGTTAGAGAAACTGAATCACTCTTACACCATATACAAAAGTAAACTCAAAATGGATTAAACACCTAAATTAAAACCTGAAACCATAAAACTAGAAGAAAAATAAAGGCAGTAAATTCTGTACGTCAGTCTTAGCAGTATTTTTCTGCATGTATCACCCCAGGCAAGAGAAACGAAAGCATACAGTTGAGACGACATCACACTAAAAAGCTTCTGTACAGTGAAGGAAACCAGCAAAATGAAAAGCTGGCCTATGGAAGAACGGCAGACAACATGTTGAGGTGATTTTTCTAATAAGGTCAGAGAACTCACACAACCCAACACTGAACAAATAATCAGATTTAAAAAATGGGCAGAGGGTCTGCACAGACATTTGATTTTCAAAGACAATCCAGATGGCCAACAGGCACATGAAAAGATGCTCCACATCATAGTCAGCAGGGAAATGCAAATTGAAACCACAATGAGGTATCACTTCATACCTCATGGCTAGTATCAAAAAGACAAGAAGTAAGTGTTGGTGAGGATATGGGGAAAAGGGAGCCCTCATGTACCATTGCTGGGAATGTAAATTGGTGCAGCCACTATGGAAAACAGTATAGAGATTCCTTAAAACTTAAAAATAGAACCACCATTTGATTTATTAATTCTGGGTAAAGAAAATGAAACACTAATCAAAAAATGTTTATTTACAGCATTATTTGTAACATTTACTGCAGCATTATTTAGAGTAGTCAAGATGGAAGCGACCTAAGTGTCCATTGACAGATGAATTAGATAAAAAAGATGTGGTGATATATACCCAATGGGTTATTATTCAGCCATAGGAAATGAAATCTTGCCAGTCATAGATAAATCTTTAAAAAGTACCATTTTAGGAGTTTTTGTGTGGATGATACAGTGTCAGTTATGTGACTGCTC